AGAGAGAGAGAGAGAGAGAGAGAGAGAGAGAGAGAGAGAGAGAGAGACTGACAGTAATACACAGATTAACTTAATGTTTCTTATTGATCAAGTATGTGCATACTTTGCAGCATTTTTGAAGCTTCTTTCTGCGTGTTGTAAACATTTCGACCAAAAAAATGCTTTGTCATAAATTTCGGTGGCGCATATAATAATTCGAATTCTGGAAATACATTGATTGATCTCAATTGATTTACATATTTCATAAAGTTTTCTTCTTCTTTTGAAAGATACTGGTACTTATCCCAGATTATGGTTGGGTGGTACTGATTTGGCTACAGAAGGTCAATATGTTTGGACCTCGACAGGTAAACTTTTCAATTACGTAAATTGGTCACCAGGCAATCCCGACAACGATCGCGGTAATGAGCATTGTGCTTATATATGGGAGAAAACCAATTTTCAATGGAATGATGGAAATTGCACTATAAAAATGGGTTTCATATGTGAGGAGCATCCCATTAAGTATGCTGTGCGCAAAAATATTGAAAAAACTATTTTGGAAAATGTATAAATGATGAATAATTAATTGTACATGAGAAAAATGCTATGAATATTATTGGAAAAAATATTCGAACGCGAATGATTTGAAACTTCAAACTTCTGCTATGTCATTTTACTTGCGGTGACTAGTTAGTTAGTTAGTTTTAGATTTTATAATTAATCGATATGAGGACACTAAACGTAAGTATATACTTAAGAGTTGTCTCAATTTCAATTGCGCGCACTGATTAGATTAAAGCTAATTGCAATAGTTTTTGAAACTCAAATCTTTTAAATAGCATTGATTTAAAGGGAAAATCTCACAATCGCAATATGGCCGCGAAGTGGATAAAAAAATTTTGCCTACTTTTAGTGTTTTTAAACACAGTAAACAGTGTTCCGTTTACTCATTGGCATAATATTCAAGACAATGTCGTGGTATTCATTGATGAGGAATATAAAGTAATTTATTTAAAAAACAAAAAGAAGAAGAATTTCTTTATAAAAAAATGATATTTTTATTTTATTTCATTTTAACAGTATAATTGGTTTGAAGCGTGGAATGAATGTGCCTCGAAGAATATGTCGTTGATAACTTTGGATTCGGAGGAAAAAGAAAAAATGTTAATTAAATTATTGCGAGAAATCAGTGAGTGTTCTAGTGTAACAAAGTGAGAGTAGAAACTCATAACAAATTATTATTATTAATTTTTTTTTTCCTCCCCCCTATCTACAAGATGCTACACGTAATCTTTGGTTGGGCGCTAATGATCTAGCTGAAGAGGGTAAATTTATGTGGGCTTCTACTGGGACAGCATTGGATTATTCCAACTGGTCTGTTAACAGTCGCAATTATCGCAATAAAACGGATTGGCTTCCTCGTAATCCTGATAATTATGAAAATAAGGAACATTGCGTTCATTATTGGAACGAGAGCGACTTTGAATGGAACGATAATGTATGCGATACAAAAATGGGCCTGATCTGCGAAGAACATCCTATTGCACAACTACTAAAAAAAGATCTTAAGGCTCTCTTCGAATTCTTTCAGAAAGGATTAGGGAGTGGCAGATTTATGTAAATAAAGTGAAATGTTTCGTATGAAAACATAAAAAAAAAAATTATTAACAATCGACTATGAGAACAAAGCACGAAATGTTCTTTTGATTCCTTAGTTCTTATAAAGTTTTCATTTTCAGTCTTAACAAGAATGGTGAAGAAAGGGTCAATTGAACAGATCTCCTTAGGAAGATACCGCGTTTACAACGCTTAGTTCAGTTTTAAGCAGATTTTAACAACTTTCTTAAAGTGCGTATGTTGAGGATATATTATAGTTGACCGCTAAGCCAAGGTAGTTAAAAGTGTCGCGTAACTAATTAGAACCAGGGAATAGTGAAGTCAACTCGATAGGGAAAGTTTGAAGCTTTCTCCTCTTCATGTATTAATAGTCAACCCTTTTTTGAAGCAACCGGAATATTATTCATCTCACGCAGGACTTACCCTTGCCATTATGTTTACTGCCCTCGCCTCGACATATGGTAAACGATTGTGATTTACGATATTTTTACCCTTCTGAAAAGGTCGTACGTAAAACTCGATCAAGTCATAAGCCTTGACGATGTATTTATTCTTTTGTAATCCTTTTGCTCAAGCAAAGCAAATGTCATTATTATCCATGCTCCTGGGCATCCGGATTTGTTTCCCTGCTAAGTTTAGTTGCTACAAAATCTAAATTGATCAAAAGCATCCCAATTATACGTACAGGTAAAGTCTAATGAATAGCATACGATCCATGCGCAAGTCCTTCAGAATTCCCTAACCATTTAAAGAAATTTAATAACTGGACTCAATTAGTATAAGTGAATATACATTAGGTGTACAAGCACTCGGGTTGGTTGATGGCTTTATAAAATCTACCTAACTCATTCTTTCTTTCGCCATTTCAGATATAACTTTGACATTAATGTCTCTAACCTATAAGTTTCGGTTGTTTATAGATTATCGTTCAGTGTATATTAAAGTAAAAGTAAAGTTATCTTAGAATGAAAATACAGTAAGCTATGAAACAGTTAACAAGTAGTTTGCAAAATTGCTTGCCAAAAATTACAATCTTAATGACGATGTAGACTCGCATACGTCCGCCCATACGCTGCAAACGCAACTCAGGAAGTCATCATCATCAACTTGAGTTGGGAATTTCTCCCAATTATGGCATATTGTTGGGGTCAGTCTCCTTGCGATTAGTATTTGTTCAAAGCGTTGCAGACATACTTAGCCCATCAGCAGCTCGCAAAAGGTGAGAATGTACGAAATTAGGTCAATGAGTATTTCCCCTGACAAGCATGGAGTTTCCGGGCAAGCTAGCCGACAATAGACTCGCCATAGATAGGCAGGTGGTGCATATTTCAATAATTAAGTACTTTTAACAAGAACGTTTAAAAATAAATAAAATTTCGTCAAACAATACAAGCGATTTATTTGCACACCTAATATATACGTTTATATTCGATATCGATTTGAATCGGTTTGAAAGTTAATTATTTAGCTCATGTGATATCTATAAGAAGTCGTTCGCACTTTTTTACTGATAAAAGATTTTTTACATGTACCTGCAATATTTACTTGGGATATATCCGCCTGAGTGGCCAAAGACGAGGAATCTCGACTAGCAACTCAATGGTCGTGGTTTCGAATCTCTCAAGTGCGGTATAGTTTTTAATAAAAGCCGATTGCCTTAGATATGCCAGTGCTTTTAGGAGTTCTTAGTCTTAGAATTTATTTCTCTGGCGAAATTAATTATTAATAATAATAATAATAAATAATAATAATTATTTGGGATAAAAGTTTTCAAGTAGAATTCACTTGTATTACTCATATAATTCAAATTGAATTTACTTAGACTATTTGGAATTTCCTAGACATTCGTGATAACGTTTTCTTGAAAGATTTCTGTAGCGCTAATCACTTTGCATTGTCAAATTTATGCAATGCGTTCGATTCCCTTCAATTTAAGTACTTTTGTTATCAATAGAGCGACATAAGTAAATAATAAGCAAAATACACGAATACGCGAAATATATAAATGAAGCAAAACACCAAACACACGCTAAATAATCTACAAAAGGCTTTGCATGGTTTCGTCTTATGATTTAAATATTTATGGTCAAATACGTGCATATAACTGAGCTATAATCTTGCCAATAAGGTCATAAGTAGAGCGAGAGATGCTTGAAGCAATCAAGATTTTACAAGTGATTTGGAAGTTGTGCTGATAGAGGTATGCAAGGCTCGATTGTAGATTAATCATTGTACGAGTACTATTATGCGTTTACTACGTCTTTCTACGGTTAAACTAGATTTGTCCTGCCCTTCGTAAAAGTACAAAATAAATATTTTGAATCGATATATTAAAATCCCTTCGTCGGCCGAACTGTCTGATCTAGAAGATGGGCATATATTGCTTTTAAAAAGCAAAAAAAAAAAAAAAAAAAAAAAAAAATTGTATAAAAAAGAGATAAATTTTTTTTAAAAAAAAAAAAAAAAAAAAAAAAAAAAAAAAAATTGGATCCAAAATCCTTCAAATTTGTGTACGAAAAGTGAAAACTATAACTTGCAGCGTGCATATTAGCAATGATTTCGTTTAAACGGAATATAAATTCTTTAGCTGTGAACGATTTAATGTGGAAAAGCTCAACCCGCGTATGCTACTTATCCCATATTCTGCATTAACGACAATACATCATAGTCTTGGCCATTTTGAGTTTTCAAATCGATTTAGCCATTAATACTTACCCGCCTGCCTGACCGAAACATTTTTATAAACAACGTGCGACTGTAACTGTTTGCGATTCGTTTACCCAATAAACTTGACAATCCGAGGTGATATGATTTCAATTCAAATTTTCAACGCTTTAGTCTTTCATAATTATTCGATCGAAATGAATCGTAAATTGATAGAAATATTAGTACTTTTCGCGGCCTTATCATATACCGTCGATAGTGTATCGGTTAATAAATGGTTTAAAGCTCCAGACGGTTCAAATTTGTTTATTGATAAAGATTATAAAGTAACTAACAAGCTTTTATTATACAAAAATTTCAATATAAACATAAAATAATTTATAATTTGAAATTTTATTATTCTATTTAATATCCGTAGTACAATTGGTTTCAAGCATGGAATGAGTGTGCTTCACGTAATATGAGTTTAATTGCCTTGGATACGCCAGAAAAATGTACAGATATAACGAGTCTTTTAAAAGAAATTTTTCGTAGGTTTGAATTATAAACAATTATTTATTAACTATATTTAAATTTGGTGATTGTTTTGTTCGTTTTAAGGATCGCCAGGTAATTTTTGGTTGGGCGGTACTGACTTAGCAGAAGAGGGAACATTTGTTTGGGCTTCGAGTGGTAAAAAACTCGATTATACCAATTGGTCTGCGAATAATCCCGACAATTACCAAAATAAAGAACATTGTGTTCATATTTGGGAACAAAGCGATTTTGAATGGAACGATAATGACTGCAAAGTAAAGATGGGTATAATATGTGAAGATAATCGTTTCAGTCTACCGGGATAATCCTTATAATATTGTCGGCGAAGCACTTGTATATATTTTTTTTTGATGAAAAATAATTTCAATTTCAATTTTAGTAAACTTGAAAATCTGAACCTTTTCAATATCCTTTCCATCCTTTTCATTTATTTCGATTTAAAATAATTAATAATAAATTCATTCCAGCAAATTTCATTAACGTTCTTTCTATTTTGTCAAAGGGCTATGGATCAATCGCTTACTAATCATCAAAATTTTTAATCGAAATCCTAGTTTAGTTACAGAATTTGTGGCAAGGGTTTAACGTGGGTTCCTGCCTTTAAGGCTTAACCCCACGGTGGCCCAAGCCACTTTTAAGCGTACTACGCCCCCTGGCGAGTTAGACAAACCCCACAGAGTAGGGGCTTAAACAGCACCAGAGTCCAGAACGGTTTATTGCGCATGGAACAATAAACCCCACTCTGGTCTGTGGTGAGGTCTAGCTGCACTCGATTGTTTCACTTTGGCTTGGAACTGTCAACCACAACCACCACGAGTACTCCCCGAAGGGCCGCACCCAAGCAGTCAGGACTCACAAATTGATCAACGTTATGCGTTCAAAAGGGAAAAATTGCGCTCGCTTCCACCATAAGGTTTCCACGGCGCCGTTGATCAATTACCACCATTACCCGCAGGCATCCGTGACATATGTTCAAAAGTATGTTAGGCAAAAGGGGAAAAAGCCTTCCGTCATATCCCTTTTTAATAATATTTGCATGTATTATTTACTCAAGAGGGTTTTTTATTAATAGGCCAAAGGGAAAGCCATCCGTCAATTCCTTTTTTTTTTTTTGTATCATTAACTCTACTCTTGAGAAAATTCTTATTCCGTTGCGACTTTTTGACCAAAGTCCATCATATTCCCGCAGGCATATGTGGCTTTGTGAGGCGAGCCTCCTGACCGCCGTGGCTCCTAGTTTATTTTGCAAAGCCTTTGGCATACTTTGGGCGGTTGTAAAAACAACCGCACTTCCATTCGGATTCTCCATACATCCTGGTAGCCAACACCAAGAACTACTTTTCTTCGAGATATATAGGTCTCGGGTATTGCACTGACATGGCAGGGGCGATCTACCATGCACTCGCTAGATTACTACCTTCTACGTACTTAATACCATTCAGAAATTTCCTAGGTAGTAACTAGCTATTGAGTGAAGAGTTCGTCTTCCAGCCAACTCCTCCACCATCTCTCAAAAACTCGTCGCCGAGTTAGTAGCCCAAAACCTTAAACCCTTCTTAGCCGACCGAAGCAGTTGCTCGCGGATCACCACTGGGAGGTGAGGGTTTCGGCCATCTATGCTCCCCATTAAAGCATAGTTTATCTCCCCGCTAGTTTAGTTGCAATTTCACCTGTCGTATATAGCGTTCCATATATATAGCATTAATTTGGAGAGTGCTATAGCAACACCAGGAGGATTCCGCAGCCGATGCCAGAAAAAACTTCGGGTGGCCGCATTAGGAAACAATAACAAAAATCTAAAAAAAATGGTTGTCGACAATCGGAAAGTGAATGAATTTTTGCGCAATAGCTGATGTCGTAAGGCTAGCAAAAGGCAGGCTAGTGCGTTCATCGTTCTGCGTGAATATTTGGATAAGACACTTTTATGGCAGAAAATTTAATTAAAAATGGATAACATATTCACTCATTGTGGAACAAAAACATCAAAGTGTTTTCTGCTAGTTTTCTGTTTAATCAGAGCAAAAAGGATTTTTTTGTCATGGACGAGAGATGAGTCCACTAGTACACTTCTGCGTCGAATAGATTCTCCTTTGAATGGAAGGGGAAGAGTGAAAGGCGTGTGAAATCGACAATATTGCAGCAGCCGGCCGGACAGATTATGTAAGCGCATTGTGTTCTATCCATCAACTGATTGCGATATTGGGTCGATAGTAGGAGAAAATTGCGAAGAAGCGGCGGTGAAAACGGTACCCTTTTACCGATACAACGCATCGTGTCACAAATTGATGGCTGCAAAGGTAAAATTGCATAAAACGACATCTGAATTGTTGGTCACAATCACCATTTTCTCTACGAAGCTCAACATGAGGCTCGAGGGAGAAATACTTGCATCGCATGATGAAGGTTCAAGCTTATTTTGAAGATTTTAACAGATTGTCCGCATAAAAAAAGAATTTAAATGCTAGAGAAGCGTTGAACTGATTGTATTACCCCTGAAGGTAAAAGAAAAAGAAAACATAAAAAAAGGGTTTTCTTCCGTAGTCTCTACATATGTTGACCGATATACTAGATACTTCATAATATTTCCTTTTCAATGAATTACCGCATGCAAGGTGTGAAGAGAACGCCGAGAGTATTTATGAAAGAGAAGAGTGACAACTTGTCAGCAGAGTGCTTTTCCAATTTTAGAGAAAATTAAACGCATCGGTATGTATTTGTCAATTATTGACGATAATGTCCTCATTGATAAAATCTACATTATGAAAGTCCTTCTTGACGAAAAGCCTGGAAGTTAGCGTAAAAGGTCCCATAAAGTATACGTAGTTGGGGCTTTTCTGTCTCTTTGTTGGATTTAAGAGGGCAGGGATTAATTAGAAATGTGATATGGAGAACTTTTCAGGTCAAACGATCATCAATGCAAAAATATTAGTTAGCCTGGAAATTACTTGTTGCTCTTCCCGACACCAAGTTAAAATAACTTCTTTCAGGTAAGTAGACAGATAATTAGGGTCAAAGGTGCATATAGTTACGTAGAGTGGACTTGTATTTATTTGATGAAAAACTTTCAAAGTGATCGATTGTACTGTAGTAGTATCACGTAATTTTTAAAATGCAAGATCATAGTGAGCATATAAGACATAGTTTTAGCTTTTTAGTTCAATAAAAAAGGTAAAAGAGCTGCAGAAGCGCATAGAATGGTACGTGCTGGGTATGGAAGTAACGCCCATGTTAAAATTGGTTCGCGAAATTTCCTTCTGGACATATTTCAGTGAAAGTTTAACCGCGTTCTGGTAGGTCAAATACTATTGATGACGACCAACTAAAGGTTATGAGCGCAACTGATCGATATATGATGAGTCGGGAGATTGCAGAGCAAAACTTAATTCATTCAAAACAAGTGTTAGTGATCGCATTAAAAGCCTGTGATTTGCTTCCACACGATTTAAAAGAAATTCATTTAACACAAACCATTAACATCTGTGATATACTCTTGAAACGAATCCAAAACGATCCATTTATGTAGAGAAATGTAACTGGTGATGAAAAATGGATTCCATATAAAAATGAGCTCGTGATCAAATCACGGGTAGCCGTCTCAAACAACACTCAAACCGGAGATCCATGAAAAGAAAATGGAGCTATAAAGGAAGTGTGTATCATGAGCTTCTGCCGCATAGCAAAACAATTAATTTTAAAGCATAGTGTGAAGAATGAAGCCTTGCAGCAGAAATGCTCGGGATTAGTCAAGCGAAAAAATACAATTTTTCATTAGGACAATATGGAACCTCATACTTCCGCACTCAGTTGCCAAAAATTATTAGGGCTTAGCTGGAATATGTTAGCAAATCCATCATATAATCCTAACAGGTTACGATCCCTTTCGTTCTCTACAAAATTCTTTATCTTGTAGAACTTTTAGTTCAGAAGATAGCTTGCAAAATGTTCACTTTTGCGGGAAAGAGAATCTTTATCACAGACTTTACCCAGAATATGCTTATATCGATTCAGAACTTGATTCTATATGTTGATATATATATTGTAAAATCTCTGAAGCTTCCTTTTGGGTGTTGGCAGACATTATGCCAACTTTAATATAATTATCGTGGATACAAAAACTCTGAAGGGATTTAATAAAGCAAACGAACGATTATTTGATGTTCTTCTTCTAACGCCTAAAGTTATATTACGGAAAACGTAATCGCGTATTTAAACTTTCGTTGAGTCAGTTGAGCCCATGAGAATTTAATTGGATATTTAATGCAGTTTTTCGACTCAAATTTGTTGAATCTCTGAACGTCTAGTTGACTTACTGTGTTTCTAAACATTATAAACTTATCAGCATTTATTTTCCATGAATTTCGTCGAGTGAAGAAATGAGGGAAATCCATACTAAGCATTAGGTTGGCGCATATGATATGTCGGTTTTTTTATACTCAATTTTTTTTTGGCACACACTCATAAAAAGATATAAACCCTTTACAAAGCCAAACCTCAACGTTGCGCATGAGATTTCGCAGACGTAGAGTTGTTTAATGTTCTTCACCTCGTTTCGCGACATGAATCAAGTTAAAATTTTCTTTTACAATGCATTTGATCATTACACAGGGGCACAGGGGCAGTTAAGCAAGACAGAGAGAGAGAGAGAGAGAGAGAGAGAGACGGCGAGGGGACAAGACTTGAATAGAAGCTTGAATTTTCCTTCGGACTTGGGCATTTTTGCTTGCTGGGTTTGTCTCAATATGGGCTCAATATGGTTGTATTTTCTGTTAATATTGCACGATATTCAATAATAATTGTAAGATCAATTTTAAGCCTAAAATGTCCACTCATCAGTTTTACTATGCAAAACGCTCTAAATTCAAATTGAGTTTTAGACGGTTACGCAGTTGATATTATATGTAATATTAGCAAATATGAAAATCTTGCATACGAATTTTCGATACCAACTGAATTATCATTTCTAAGAAACTATAAAAAAATAAAAGAAAAAATTCTATAAAATTTTTCATTTAATATTTTATAGTTTTCTTACTATGGGACACAGTAGTGGGCACTTTGGAAAGTGGACTGATTCGTTTAGAATTGAAATAATATCGAACTAGCACTTATATTGTGTGCGAGTATTCATAAGGGGGACAGCATTTGGAGATTAAGAATTGAAATAATCGCTATCGATCCATTACATCCAGCCATTGATTAATAAAAAGTCATCTAAAGTGAATGAATATTTATGTGTTATCCTAAGGTGAATTTCTTCTCTATATAATATCCGTTATTTAACATCCACAAACCTAACAGAACATGTTGTAAGCAAGCGTTATATGCGTGTAACGTGTCTGCTTAAATTTTCCCATTTACTGAAGTAAATCAACAGCCGGTATTTTATTGTGTGAGCATGAAAAATCATCAACCACTTTTTATACTACCA